CTCAGAGTAACCGGCACCCACACCGTCCATCAGAGAACACTTTTCCTGACAAGGTCACTGATCTCGTTATGACAGCCCCGAGAGTGATTATTCATAGTAGTGGTGGGTGTCAGATGACGAACACCAGTTGTTGTACATGCTAAGGCACCGATCACGTCCGAATTTCAAACCGTAGTCTGCTAGTCCGTTTGTGTCAGCGCTGACATGGCTATTCATCCCACAGTATTGGACGAGTCGCTGAGTTTTGAAGAGACAGACTGTTACATCAACTTCGATAGTGTCAACAATTTGCATCAGTTAAATCTGTGCGGCGAGGACTGTGAACTATCATCACATGATTGAACATATGTCCTACCGATTTTAGCGGTAATGTTGATCCTGCTGTCTGTGCAATCGTACGCGAAGAACGTAAAGTTCAAATTTGCTATCACTAACAGACCAAAAACAATTTCAGTTAGCATAATGGTACACAATCTGACAGCAACAAGTGACTGGCACGCAATCAATGCAGATCATGACCGTGAGTGGAAAAGATATTACTGCGCCGTATCGGCGTCGCTATGAGAGCCCGCGAAACCTGGATAATCATTATCCTCGACTTGGCACAGATTGATGATATTCTCCAGAGGCTGTAGTTCAATAAATGGGATCGCCGAAGGCATCTCATCGGGGCGGAGGGCTGCCTTTGAGAAAAGAGACTTGTTGAAACGCGTGGACAGGTAACCCGAGTCCGGTAAGTGACGGTAAGGCAAGCTAATGTAGTAAAGGCATATTAGAGGAAGGGAAGATGGATTTAGTCGGTACAATATGCAATATTATTTGGGAAAAAGGAGGATAGGGAAGGGAAGTGCAATTAGATACTTGGAAAAATGCAATGTGGCAAAGCAACGACACGAGGTATAGGCGAAATAAGAAAGAAAAGAAGCATAGAGACAAAGCGTATGTATAAATAAGCAATTATAATATTCAAAAAGTAAAGTGTGCGCGACAGCTGGAATAGAGGAAAAGAAAGCTCAAATTAGGCTGTTATGTAGCTGGCGATGAAAAGCTGAATCAATCGTTGGAAGGGGGCATGGAATCCCAGAAAAGGGGAAGGCATCGGCCGTGGCATTTGAAGATGTACGATCGACAAAGCTGCAAATGTAAACAAAGAAACGATGTTGCTTGGCGAACATGGGAAAAGCCATTCGGAAAGAAGTTATAGGTTCTGATGGAAATGTATGACGTATATCGATGCGTCTGGTCAACAATTTAAATTGAATTTCGTCGAGACCTGAAACGAGTATTATATGAGTGCGTGGCGATTGGGTCCTGAGTGTGGTCTCGATTTTCGTATGCTCATTATGGATTTCCTGACTCAGCGGCTGCGGTTAGCGCCACTTGCTCGATCTCAGGCACCCAGGGAGTCATAAATACAGGGTCTGACAAGGTACAACATGTTTTAACCTAATTCTGTGCACCTTCCCGGGCGTCGATTGAGGTGTTGAGATACAGACTATGAATAATCCTGTAGAATTCACCTTGATTACCCGCGATTCCCAACATTCCCACTCCCAACAGTGGATAGCATAACTTCTGTGATAGCCCTATTTTAGGAGCTAATTCGCGAAGATAGACACGATTGCCTTCATTAATTGAAAGGGGTGACAAGTGGGAACGCCTATACTGTGCGTCAAATTTGGATCTTTGTCGTTCGCTGTAAGACATTGCTGAACGCCAAGCAGCACGAAAGGTAGTAACTAGATTTTGCACGTGAACCCCTGAATCATCTGCTGGAATGTGACGCTCAGAATTGTGCAGTATAAACCAATCAGTATTAAATACTGGATCACGTCCATTCATGAGAAAGAAGGAGTGTCGCGCATGCGCAAATATTTATATTTGTTCCAGTCGAGTTGGTTTCGGTAGATATAGATGCGAAACATAGCGCGAAAAGTAGCAAAAATGCGCTCACGAGCACCATTACCCTCATGATGGTAGGGAGTGCACTAATACCTGTGGATTGCAAGAAAACGGCTTTTTTTTCTGGCATAACCTCACCGTTAAAGTAGGAACTATTATCCGGAATGAGCTAGCTCATTACGCCAACATTCAATATACATTCAGAAACAATGGCTTGCGCTACCGTAATCGCCGCATAATCGGGTAAAGGAGTGGCGATAATATATTTGGAAAAATGGTCAAACATCGCAAGAATCTACAATTTCTGTTCCCCTGAATATAGAGCGTACAAATTCGAAAGGCATAATTGTGATTGGGTTAGAAACAGGCAGAAATGCTGATAAGGATTGAGTAGGATCATGTACAACAACTTGTGGTATTGGTTCTATCAGTTGAGTACAATATTCAGCTTGTACCATTCGGCGCTTCGTTTAACTGATCAGAAACCTCAGCTATAGAAAAGTCACACCGCGCCAGTAGTGAGCTCGCGCGCACAGGGAGCGTGCTCTGTCTCTGCTTCTTAAGGAAACTACTAGATTATACAAGATTCATCTGAATATCGCCGAGAATATATTGTTACTCAGCAATAAGAATCAACGAGCTACAAGGCAACGAATAGACATGCGGCATAATACAATATAGTATAATAAATAGAGAGACCGACATAATGGAGGAGATACTCGGGTTGAACAGGGTTTCGCCCACTAGAGGGGGAGAAAGAGCTGGGCTGCCGTCCTTGGTCCTCCGTCGTTTCCTCGTTGACGCTTATCTCACTCGCCGCTCCTCCCTGAAATTACTCGATGATTCATCCTGCAACATCATCAACTGATGGCCGCGCCTGCACCGCGCGACTCACACAGTACTTAAAAAGGGACGGTCTAGGTCCAGATGCATGATTTAATAAGACCAATACCATGAGAACGAGATTTTGTGATTATGAGCGCAACCGTCGCCTGATACTCATTCCTTTCAAAGGAAGAATACACGATTGCAGTGTCCCATTAAAGATGAGACACCCGAGATCGCAGGTTTCTTCGAACGCTAATCTCGAAGCTGAATTCCAAGTCGGCAAAACGATTGTGTTAGAGAGCAGTTGTTCGCTGAGAACTTATAACCTGTGCTGAACATATAACCGAATCGAGTAGAGTGTCATACTGTGCAACGGTGGCGCAATCGGTAGGGCGATCGACTCATAAATGTTTGAGAACGATTGTGAGAACAGTTCAAATTATTAATGTCTTCAATCGTTTTTTCTATAAAACGTGTCCTGAACACTTGCAAAATGTTTTTAGCCTTCATACTAACCATCTACCGCCCTTCCTGACAGTTTCAGGAGTTTGGGAACTGTAATCAATTAACACTCGGAAATCACAGTGGGCAACGATCGCCATCCACCCTCGCAAAGCTGCGTGACCTTCCCGCCATGGAATCTTCTGTAAAGGTGATTTCCAATAAGAGAAGAGGGTCATGCTGAGTGTTTTTCGGAAGTTCATGGAATCTTCCGTATTGAGATACTGACGGATGGCACGACTGCTTCAGCCGAGGTCTACTACATCAACAAGACTGACAGACAAGACCTGCAAGAATCATTCTTAGTTATAGAACACTTCACGATAAAGCGCGCCCCGAATCGCAAAAAAAACCCTAAGCAAATTTTGGAATTTGGGTAGCACCCAGAGTACAACGCGGACCAGGTTCCGAGCTACTGCCACCGCTTCAGCATTATCTGATAGAGATGGGTCACCGTGATCGTGACCAACTCGAATATGACTTTGAGCTTTCTTCGACTCAAAGTCACCAAAGTCGGCGAAGGAATCAAAGGCGTCGCGAAACGCTCGTGGAATGTATTATTCAATTTTGATGGAATTCGTTCTGTCGAATAGTGAGATATGATCAAAAAGTCATATTGTGGAATCTCAGACACTATTAGAACAGCCATAGCCTTCAGGTAGAATAAGGTAATAAGGATAAGGTGAATAAAGTATTTCACGATCAGCCAAAAACAGAATATTTCGTGAGACTTATCCAACTTGGAACTATCGAAGGCACAGTTCACGATAATTTTGGGTAATCCAGATTATGATGAAAAATGGAAGACAAGGTCGAAAATAGTGCGATGAAGGTGGAGAAACTGCATGAATCGATGTTTCTAGAGTGAAAAGAGGTTTCGAAAACCCGTTGAAAAGTGGGCTGGACGAGAATGAGATCAGAAAAATGAAGAAGAGTGGGGAGTTTGGGCGAGCTATACAATGTGTCTCCCTGCATAAGTGTGGGTCCTGGTAAGAATAAACGACTGTGGTAAGCAAAAATCCATTCACTTAGAAGCATAAGTAAACAAAAAACCCTAGTAACAGCAGAAGTGGCT